CTCCTAAGCAGCAAAAACTGGAAAAATAAAAGGTTTTTTGGCTGCAGACAACCCGGCCGTTCAGTCAGCCCCGCGACGCCCCGGTTCTGGTCCCAACCCTGGTGCAAAACGGGGGGGCGGCCCTCTGATTTTCGTCCTTTTTAACCAAGCACAGGCCTAAGAGCTTTTTTTTTTTTTGCCCTCCTTCAGCCACATCGATGCCTTTTCTCAGTTCGCCCCGAACTGGCCCATTTCAGACAGAAGGGCCTTCCTCCATCGCGCCGAAGGAGGAAGCGCGGCCTCACGACATACGTGCAGCAATTTTTAATGTTTTTTTCCCCCTTCGGTCTCTTTTCTGGCAATTTGGCATACAAGCCAAAATCATTTTCCGGAGAGCATCCGCCAGGGCCCAGCCAGAGGGACCAAGAGCAGCACCCGCCTCCTACACCACCTTAACACAGTGACCTTTGCCGTTTGTGGACCTCTACAAACCGCTGGAAACGACGACCGTAACATGGAAGAAAATAAAGTAGAACTTGCTCCCACACACCTTTGGGGCCACCCTGCGAAGCCCCCTCCACCCATGAGAAGAAAGGGACGGCTCTCCTTTATTTTGGCTGCGCTGCCGTAGCGAGGAAGGGAAGGATTTCCCTTGAAATTTGCTCCCCTTGGAGCTGACTGCATTATTTATGATAAAGCGCCTTCCCATTAACTGTTGGATCAAGGTCTTTACGGTTACTAAATAGTGCCCTCGTTTTAGCACGGCTCTGTATGGTTTCGTATAACAGGTAATTAAAGCATTGTGGATTACACACTGAATATATCCATATGATACAACAGAGTGATTTAGGGCCCTTCGAGGAGTGTCCCGAGATTCTTTGTGGGAGCAATGAAAATGAAAAATTAAATAAATTCAGTTGGTACACTGAAGAGCTTAGACAAAAACAAGTCCGCCTGCTTCTGAAAACCAGTAGAACAAGTTTGAAGAACCTTTGGAAGCAGTGAATTACAAATTTGCAAAGCAATTGGGAGTGGGGGAGAAACAGAAATAAGATTAGTAATAAGAAAAAGTGGCGTGGTTGTTTTGTTTTGGGTGGCGTTTCTTAAGCTTTTTTACTTGGTTGGGGTTTTTTAACCATGCACGTTAGGCAAATAGTCTTCTCTAGGCTTTTTTTTTTTCCTCCCAGCTGCACCACCCTTCCATTTTGAAATGCTGTGGAAACTCAAATACTTCCAAAACTGATGCTAATGCAAGTTCCAAGAGACTTTGAACTGTAAAATCTTTTTGGTGGTTTTTTTTTTTTTTTTCTTTTATCAGTAAAGGAATAGAGATAGATAATATTTGGAGTGATGGAATTGCAGGTCTGGTCAGCTAAGTTGGCTAGAGACAAAACAGAGGTTCACAGAGGGAAAGAAATTGTTAAAAACACGCAAGAAACAATTGTAGATTCAACACCTTAAGAGACAGATGTTAGACACAAACATTAGATGATCTGGGGAAAAAAATGAAAAAAAAAAGGATTAAGTTGGACAATGGTGAGACCCAGGGGAAAGTACAGCTTCCACCTTTCTGATGGTTAAGACACAAATGAAAACCCAGTTTTCATGGAGAGGTGCTGTCAGATTTCACAACATCTGATACGAATATGCCACAGCAGGAGGAATAATAGCACGGTTTGCTAAAATCAGAGAGATTTAAATCTAATTGTGATGGAGTTCTAGATAATAATGGTAAAAACACTAACCTTTCCATGCTAATACATAAATCCTGCAATGGAACAGATGACGATGATGGGATGATTTTAGTATGGGAAAGAGGACATAAAATAACTACCCCCACAAAAAAAACTTCTGGGTACTGCGTCTGAGCAAAGCTTCCCTTCGGGTTATCACTCCTACAGCTAACATGAGGAGTATTAAGTACTTGTGGGAATGACAAGGGGAAGGAGGAGAGGGAAAGGGAGAGGGGAATAGAAGTAGGAAAAAAATGCGGCAGGCCTACAATATAAGTATGCCCTTATCACTGGTAGGATTTTTAGTCTTTCTTTCAAAAGACAGCAAAATATTACAGGATCCATAGTATGACCTGTGCACTTCTTTCCAAAAGGATGTATTTGGGATATAAAGGTGACAGTTGGTAGTGGCCTTGCATTGACCCCCCTGAATTACTATTAGGAAGCAAAAACGTATAAACACTTTCAGTGATAAATCCCCTTTTTAAAAAAAAAAAAAATCCTCCAAAAAAAGTTCAAAGGGTTAAATGTGATTGTCATGAAGTAAGAGGCGCAGCCGCTTAGGCTGGGATCTTTCATCTGTACACAAAAAACTAAGACCCTGAAGTCAACCTTCAAAAGCAAGGAAGGCATTTTGTTATCGAGTTTATTTGCATAGTACCTCCTATATATAACGTGACAGCTTAGATGACATCATCCTGGTGAATTATTATAGCTGAGAGTCAGATATTACTGATACAATTGTGCAATGTTGTAGTTAATGAGACAGTATCAGGATAAGAACCAAACCTTATTTTGTGGTTTTGTATAACTTAGTTTGACATAGATAGCAAACCAACCGTGATATAATTGGATGCAACTTTGCAGGCTGAAAGACTGACAGATAAGACCTGAAAGAGACACAGAGAAGATGAAACAGATCAAAATTTCCTTTCTAAAAAACCCCTCTCCTTTCAGATTCAGTTGGCTGAAGCTGGAGCAACCTTTCTGC